ACAATTATTGCAGGCTCGAATGTGAGTCCAAGTAATAATTGAAGGAAGTAACAACAAAACTATATACAAACAAACAACAATGTATGTATTTACCAAACATAGGTATACATAGACAATACAGGATTTTTGTATGTGACAAAGCAATGTATATGAAAGAAGAAAACATTTAAACTGGTTTGGTTTGGTTTACGGCATATCAATATATAGTGTATGTTTTTAAACACTTTGTATTTTTGCTGTTAACATACTTTTTGAAACTATGAACACAAAACTGTTTTTTAATTGACAAGTGGAGACATTTGTATTTAATATTCAGTTCACTGTTCAAATAACATTTAACAGGGCTAAAAAAACGGTCATCAGACAAAAAAGAAATTTTCCTTAAATAATAAATACTGCATTAATCATTTGATATTTCTTCAAATAATTTTTACTAGTGTTTTTTTTTTTTTGCATTTCACTGCAAGCAAGGTGGGAGTGCCACTAGTATGCGAGGGGTTACAAAAAGTGAGAGCAAGAGTAAAGAGGGGGGGTGTGTGAGAAAAGGATATAGAGAAGGATGGGGATCAGGATCAAGGCATCAGGAGATGTCGATTGACATTACATTTGAATATTTGAAAATTATAGCTATCAGGGAAGCAAGTAGGAGGAAGGGAGTTCCACTGTCAGGAATTATGAGAGAGGAAGCTGTTGGAGTAGAAGAGACGGCTACATTAAACTGTTTTGACATTGAAAAGGGTTTAGAATGAGATGCCAACCAAATAGCATGCTTGAATTCATGCAGTTGGGGTACCAGTGAAAGTAGCGTGTCAGGGCAGTTGCCATGAAAATATCTGTAGAAAAGACAGAGGGAAGCCACAGCATGTCTGTGAGAAAGTAACTGTAGACAAGATGCCATGTCAGGACCTGTTACATTGCATATCTGTCTCTGGATTTTCTTGAGAACCTCAAGACAAACAGCAGGGGCACCAGATCATATATGGCAGCAGAATTCCATGCAAGGACGAATGGTTGATTTGTGGATTTCAAGGATCGACTCAGGCGAGAAAAACCTTCTGGCGCCACACAGAGAACCAAAATTCCTTTCTTTCACTTACTCTTTCATTTCAAACAAGTTGGAAAGAGTCTTTCAAATATTTTGGGGGTTAAAAACTCAGATTTTGTTGGGCTGCATTCATTGAAAATGAAGGTGATTACATTTATGGTAAATAATATTTAAATGAATATAGCTGGTTTTTTTTTTTTTTTTTGTATTTTTTGTTTTGGATCCTTTCTGGTAAGACATAATTACTTTATGAACACTCTAATATGCTGAAAAAAAATTGTGACAAAATTAGCTTCATGAATAAAACCATAAGCTTTGAATGTTCAGTAATTAAATAAATTTGTTCTGATGAATGAGGAGCAGAAATCTCAAATATATGGATTTAGAATGATCAAGTAAATTGCGGTGATATTTCTTAAAAACTAATAACTGATGTTTCATTATTTGGGAAGATCTTCAAAGAAATATTGCATTATTTAAAAAATAAATATAAAATAGGTAAATATGATGGTGAATAGCAGGGAGAAGTAAAAATTAAAGTAGATGAGGATAAAGGGGAAGGAAAAGGCAAAGGTGAATAATAATAATAATAATAATTGGAAGAAGATGGAGAAGTAGAAAATAAAGAAGATGAGGCGAAAGAAGGAGGAAAAGGTAGAGGTGAATAATAATGGGAAGAAGATGATGATGGTGAATAGGATGGAGAAGTAGAAAATGAAGAAGATGAGGATAAAGAAGAAGGAAAAGGCAGAGGGGAATAATAATAATAATAATAATAATAATGGAAAGAAGAAGATGATGGTGAATAGGATGGAGAAGTAAAAAATGAAGATGAGGATAAAGAAGAAGGAAAAGGCAGAGGAATAATAATAATAATAATAATATAATAATAATGGGAAGAAGATGATGATGGTGAATAGGATGGAGAAGTAGAAAATAAAGAAGATGAGGAGAAAGGAGGAGGAAAAGGCAGAGGAGATAAAGGAGGAATAATGAAGGTGATGAGGGGAGAATAAAAATAAAGGGAAGAAGATGGAGGAAAAGGTGAGGTGAATAATAATGAAGAAGAGAAGTAATAAGAAACTGAAGAAGATGAAGAGATAGAAGGAGGCAGGGGTGAATAATAATAATGGGAAGAAGATGATGGTGAATAGGATGGAGAAGTAGAAAATGAAGAAGATGAGGATAAAGAAAGAAGGAAAAGGCAGAGGGGAATAATAATAATAATAATAATAATAATGGGAAGAAGAAGATGATGTTGAATAGGATGGAGAAGTAGAAAATGAAGAAGATGAGGATAAAAGCAGAGATGAATAATAATAATATTTTAAATAGGATAAAGAAATAGCAAATAATGTTGTTGAAGAAAGAAAAGTTAGTTAATAATGGAAAGAAATAATGAAGACAATGATTGAGAAGAGGATTGAGGAGAAGCAAATGAAGGTTTATAAATACAGACAAATAAAGGGTATTAGTGAATTTTGCCAGAGTATATATATATATTAATAATTGGATTGAATGTTGTCAAGGGAATCTTTCATTTAAAGTCGATTGAAAACATAATTTATCAGACTTTTGTTATGTTTTAAATTTAAACTTGATATTCTCTCCATGGGTTTTCTGGTCATTAAAACTATATCCAGTATTAACATCCTAAAGTTAATGCATGTATTTTTTTTTAAAATGCCATCTCACTTCAAGATATTGGGAATCATGCCTCTCCAGAGTTGCCTTTCTTTTTTCTTTTTTTTTTTTTTTTGTTCATGCCATGCTTTCTTTGGAAAGATAGTGGGGTAGTTTTCCAATGCCTACTCCACAGTTTAGAATTCAGAGTTTTCCTTCTTTTAGACTGGTTGCCATCCAAGGCTGGAGAGACCAATCTGCTTGGGTATTTAATCCCCATCTGTAAAATTAAATACCATGTTCCTTCAGTATGTAAATGATCATGGCTCTCCATAGAGTCTTTTTTCTTTATTGCCTGTGAATTGACATTACCTCTTGGAAAAGGTAGTAGAGTGGTTTCCTGTTGCCTTCTCTACAGCCTGGAATTCAGAGTTTGTTTTCCCAGGTTTCATAGTTTATGACAGTGATGAAGATAGAACTTTAATGTGCAATTTCAAAACAAGTTCTCAGAATGGTAACCAATGTAGGAGTATTACGTGTTCATAATTATTATTTTGGGGGGAATTTCATCAGGATTTGGATATAAATCTACTATATATAAGTGGATAGCTCCTCTGTGGTTGACTGATTTTTCTTTTCTTTTTGTTTTTATTAGTGTTTGTATTTAATTTTATTTTTTTTATAGCTGTCAGTGCAATAAAAATTTTTTCTATTGATTCTATGATGAACATTGAAACTAATTTAGTGACTTGTTGAAGTAATTAAGTTTTGTTTTTAATTGGCTCATGGTACAAATTTTCTTCTGGAAATTTTTTGTTCTATATGAGCTGGCAATTATATCAGTGTATAGATAAAATAAAGAAAGGGGAAACTGATCAGATAATATTTGGTTATTGATTGTTGATTTCTGATAGGGAGTTAAATTTTTTGTTCTTGAGAAAACTTTTGCCGTTAAAAAAAAACAAACCAAAAACGGCAAAATGTGAATTAAGAAAAAAAAGGAGTGAAAAACTAATGGAATTAATTTTAATTACAGATCTGCAGTCTCAGATAGTCTTTCTTTCATTATTTTGATTTTTTTTTTCTTTTTTTTTTGTAATCAAGTTTCTTATCTGCAGAAAAAATATAAAAGAAAAAAGAAAATATAAGTAAACAGAAAAAAAGATATCTGATCAATTTTGGTTATTGATTATTAATATTTGATTTGATTTTTCTTTCCAAAGCATTTTTATCCAAGACAATTCTTCCAAATTATGCTGAGCTTGGCTCAATTTGTTAGCATTATCAAGATGACCAGCAATCATGATTAAGTATCAACTGGTCATCATTAATACAATCTCTGTTCAACTTGGGGCTTTTTGATTGGCTGTTATTTGATTATGTGGGTTTTTATTGGAGGAAAATGTGAAAAAGGTTTTTAAAATAATAAAAGATAATCGTGTTCATTTAGTACTTTCAAAGAATAATATAATTCTTGTATTCTGCATTTGTCGGTTCAGCTCAATGGTAAAAACAGAGGGATTTCTAACCTATTCCTTGATGACAAAGCATTAGACTGTCTCATTTTTTTTATCTATAATATTTCTGTGATATTTTCACTCATAGACATTATGAGAAGGCTTTTTCTCAATCTGTCTGCCTCTTTTTGTGAAATGTCTCTCACCTTCTCATAATTTTTGTGACATTCTTTCTTTCTCTCTCTATGAGGCTTTCTTTCAAATTTTCTATTAATCTGTCTCTCTCTTTATGAGGTCTTCTTTCACTCTATCCTTCTCCGAGTAAGACTTTCTCTCAATCTCTTCCTCTCTCTATGAGGCTTTCTTTCACACTCTGGCCCTCTCTTCGTCAGGCTTTTTTCTTACTCCACCCCTCTCTTATTGAAACTATCTCTCTCTGTCCCTCTCTTTATGGGGCATTCTTGCACTTTCACCTTCTCTTTCGGAAAGTTTCTATCATTCTGTTCCTCTCTTATTGAACCTTTCTCTAACTTTGTCACTTTGTCAAAAAATTCTCCCACTATCTCCTCCTCACTCTGTCCCTCTCTTTATGAAGCGTTCTCTCACTCTTCCTCTCTTGATGAAGCATTCTCTCACTCTCTTCCTCTCTTGATGAAGCATTCTCTCACTCTCTTCCTCTCTTGATGAAGCATTCTCTCACTCTCTTCCTCTCTTTATGAAGCATTCTCTCACTTTCTTCCTCTCTTTATGAAGCATTCTCTCACATTCTTCCTCTCTTTATGAAGCATTCTCTCACATTCTTCCTCTCTTTATGAAGCATTCTCACACTCTGTTCCTCTCTTTTTGAGGCATCCTCTCACTATGTTTCTCTCTACATGAAGCATTCTCTCACTTTGTTCCACTCTTTGTCATTCTCTCACTCTGCACCTCTCTTTATGAAGCATTCTCTTTGTCCCTCTCTTTATGAGTCATTTTCACACTCTCACTCTCTTTATAAGGCATTCTTCCACTCTCTCACTCTCTTTATGAGGCTTTCACTCTCACTTTGTAAGTCTTTTTCTCACTAAATTTGCAAGTATGTTTTTTTCATTTCTCTCTCTCTCTCTCACATTTATTTTGAATTTTTCCTTAACATCTCTGCCTTTGTAAGACTTTTTATTACTCTGCCTTTTTTTTTTATTTGGAGTCTTTTTACCTCACCCTGTCACTCTTTTTGAGTGTCTATCTCCTCCTCTTTCTAACACTATTCATTTCTCTCTCTACCTCGTCTCTCTTATATTCCGGTGTTTTTATACATATATAAATCATGAAATCAAAAATTATAAATATATTTATTTTTTGCATTAGATGGCATTAGGAGTGTTCAGTTTTTATTTCTGATTGCATCATGAGAATTGTCATATTGGCATGCATTAAAAAAATGTTCAAAATTGATTCTGAGATTGAAAATGACAGGAACAATATCCTTTTTAATATTATACATTTTTGCTTAAGAAGGGTAAAAATGCCACTAAAACACAAACATATTTACAGTTTATGAAGAAGGTTCTGTAAATGATCAAATGTGTTAAAAGTGGTTTACAGAATTGCAAAAAAAAAACCCTTGGCCAGCTACAACTCTAAGAAATGATTTCTTAATCACTATACAGAATATGATGCTGTGTATGTAGTGGAACCGAAGTTTGTTTGTTTTTTTGGGTTTTTTTTGTATTTTGTTTACCTATGAACTCCTTCAGGAAAACTTATTGATTCAAATAAGTGCTATTTTCAGTTAAACCAGCTAAATAAGTACTATGAACCAATTAAAGATGTATTATAAACTAGCTAAGTAAGTATTATTCCAAGTTAAACCCAATGAAGGCAATTTTAAAAAAAAAATGCCTCTAGAATTTATCTAACAAAAGAGTACAACATTCTATAATATCATCCTTTGTTAACAAGGTAGAAGTTGCTGCTACAAGATTGGGAATTTTTCCCTCACCAGACATTATCCCTTTACTTTACCGTTTATTCTAGTCTTTAGAGAATTTGCTGAATGTATAATTTTCCAATACACTGAAAGACTGCAAAAGAGACCTTCAACAGATCTTTGAAAGAAGGTTTAAACTTCTTGAGAGGATAATATTGATAAGGACAGGAAACTGTGGAGAGCCATGATTACCTGTTTCATGAAGGAACACAGTGCATTAAAGAAGATGCTGAGTTCAAATTCTATCCAAGACCATTGTTTGCTTTTACACAAATACAGTGAGAGGTTAAGAGACTTGATTGACAACCAGTCTAGGAGAATGACAACTCTGAAGTTAAAACCTGTTTAGCATAGGACAAAAACTTTCACTCCATAAAAACTTACAGAAACCGAAGCAGCAACACTTAATGCGGGGAGGCTGTGATGCAAGGCTGTGGAAGACGGTATGCAAGATGCATATATTCTTGATATTAAGAATATCTAAGTACCATATGCAAATTGGTAACTTATTTTTAGCTGACCAAAGCTTTTTTTTTCTGCTGAAAAAGCAAAGCATCATGATATTTTCTCATTTCCTTGCTTGTAAACAAGTATCATTTAATGAAAATTTCTCATAAAATAAATTCTTGGAAGCAAAACATTGAGAAATATTGTTTGGAAACTACTTTTCCTTTGGGGGTGGCAGGTTCTTCAAAAGGAAAGAGTTATAGAGAAGAAGAAAAAAAAAAAAGAACCTCTTTGAAAAATGCTGGAGTTAATGGCAAGTCTTCCTCTTCTTAAGACAAATGGACAGACAATAATCATTAAAACTTGAAAGAAAATACCTTTTATATATATATATATATATATATATATATATATATATATATGTCTTCCCTTAAATTTTTGTTATTTACATTGGTTGAAATCTGTCAACAAGTTTTTGAGCAAAACAATTTTTTCATTTGATTTGTGTTTTGCATGACTATTATTATTATTATTTGCAAAAGATGAATTGTCAGAAGTTTTTTTTCTGTATTCCTTAAATCCCCTGCAATATAATAATAATAATAATATGAAGATTACAGGAAGCAGGAAAAAAGAAGTAGTGAATGAAGATGATGAAGTAAAAAGTGAAGGTGAATATTAAAAAATATTAATGGAAAGAAGAGGATGGTAAATAGGATGGAGAAGTAGAAAATGAAGTCGATGATATTATTAAAAAGGAAAAGGCATAGTTGGATAATAATGACGATGATAGAAAGGAGGAGAAAAGATGATGATGGTGAATAGGATTGAGAAGTAGAAAATGAAGAAGATGAGGATAAAGAAGAAGGAAAAGGCAGAGGTGAATAATAATAATAATAATAATAATAATAATGGAAAGAAGAAGATGATGGTGAATAGGATTGAGAAGTAGAACATGAAGAAGATGAATAAAGAAGAAGGAAAAGGCAGAGGGAATAATAATAATAATAATGGGAAGAAGAAGATTGGTGAATAGGATGGGAAAGATGAGGATAAAGAAGAAGGAAAAGGCAGAGGAATAATAATAATAATAATAATGAAGAAGAAGATGATGGTGAATAGGATGGAGAAGTAGAAAATGAAGAAGATGAGGATAAAAATATTAAAAGGCAGAGGAATAATAATAATAATAATAATAAAATAATGGAAAGAAGATGATGGAGGATTGAGAAGTAGAAAAAGAAGATGAGGATAAAGAAGAAGGAAAAAGGCAGAGGGAATAATAATAATAATAATAAAATAATAATGGGAAAAGAAGATGATGGTGAATAGTTGGATGAAAATGAAGAAGATGAGGATAAAAGAAGGGAAAAGGAGAAAATAATAATAATAATAATAATGGGAAGAATAGATGATGGTGAATAGGATTGAGAAGTAGAAAATGAAGAAGATGAGGATAAAGAAGAAGGAAAAAGCAGAGGTGAATAATAATAATAATAATAATAATAATAATGGGAAGAAGAAGATGATGGTGAATAGGATTGAGAAGTAGAAAATGAAGAAGATGAGGATAAAGAAGAAAAGGGAATAATAATAATAATAATAATAATAATAATAATAATGGAATAAGAAGATGATGGTGAATAGGATTGAGAAGTAGAAAATGAAGAAGATGAGGATAAAGAAGAAGGAAAAGGCAGAGGGAAATAATAATAATAATAATAATAAATAATAATAATGATGGTGAATAATGGAAAGAAGAGGATAAGAAAAGAGAGGGAATAATAAAATAATAATAATAATGGGAAGAAAAAGATGATGGTGAGAATTGATGAGGAAAAAGATGAGGAAAAGAAGAAAAAAGGCAGAGGGAATAATAATAATAATAATAATAATAATAATGGGAAGAAGAAGATGATGGTGAATAGGATTGAGAAGTAGAAAATGAAGAAGATGAGGATAAAGAAGAAAAAAGAAGAAGATGGGAAGAAGAAGATGAAATAAGATTGAGAAGTAGAAAATGAAAAGATGAGGATAAAGAAGAAGGAAAAAGGCAGAGAATAATAATAATAATAATAATAATAATAATAATAATGGAAGAAGAAGATGAAATAGGAAGATGAAGAAGATGAGGATAAAGAAGAAGGAAATAAAGGAAAAGGAAGAAGTAATAATAATAATAATAATAATAATAAAGAAGAAGATGATGGTGAATAGGATTGAGAAGTAGAAATGAAGAAGATGAGGATAAAGAAGAAGGAAAAAGTCAGAATAATAATAATAATAATAATAATGGGAAGAAGAAGATGATGGTGAATAGGATGGAGAAGTAGAAAATGAAGAAGATGAGGATAAAGAAGAAGGAAAAGGAAGAGTGGAATAATAATAATAATAATAATAATGGAAAGAAGAAGATGATCGTGAATAGGATTGAGAAGTAGAAAATGAAGAAGATGAGGATAAAGAAGAAGGAAAAGGCAGAGGTGAATAATAATAATAATAATAATAATAATAATAATGGGAAGAAGAAGATGCTGGTGAACAGGATGGAAAAGTTGAAAATGATATGCAATATTTTATTTTGTTAACTCCCTTCATCATCGTTTTTAATTTTTTCTTTTTCCACCCAGATTTTTCATTCTTGCCCAATTTTTTTCCTGTCTTTTTCATTTGACATTATCAACGGGAAGGCAAATATGAAGTCAAGAACAAGAAAAGTCGAATAAACAATTTGAGAATGATAATAAAATAACTCAGCCGGTCTTCCATTTAAATTAAAGGGTTGAACAGAATTAAGAATGTAATTCTCTACTTCTCAGTTCACAACAGAATTGCTTGTACATTGTCAAGTCAACCTTCCTTCTTGTACTCAGACAGTGTGTGTGTGTATATATATATATATATATATATATATATATGTGTGTGTGTTTTGTAAAGACACCAGACCCATTACACACATATATATATATATATATATATATATATATATATATATAAAGACACCAGACCCTTTACATATATATATGTTTGTAAATAGTCCAGTGTCTTGTCTTACTTTACACCTTTCTGACCATAGCTCAATTAGATCTCCATTTAAATATTCATGGAGATCTACCGGACTCTATTTGTAACATACTTGTTGACAACACTAATATAATAGCAACATCAACATGCAAAAAAAGGGCTAAAAATAATAGAAGCCTTATTAATAAAAACAAAAAAAACAACACTTAATAATATTAAACATGAACATGGACACAGTATCTTGACAGTGTTTTGAAAAATGAAGACATTATATAAATACATACATGCAACAAACTATTTCTTATTTAACAGGTAAAATATTTCAACCTTGAAAATGGATAAATGTATAGCCGAATTCACCCAGATAAAAAGAACATTCAGACAGTTTTTATATAATTTATCATCTGAAAAGAAAAAATTATTAGATTGCATGAGAAATTGTATTAAAAACTAAATAAAAGTGCCTTGTCTGTCGTATTCAATGAAATGTGCATATATATATATATATATATATGCATGTATTTATTGCTGTGTTATCCTAAGGTAAGACAAAGCTTGAAACAAGAAATAATCATTAATACTTTCCAAATAAGGTTTTTATTGTGTC